GAGACAGTAATCAGTTTTTTTTTTCTCTGTGTTTGTGTTTTGCTTGTTACTGAATAGTATTTTCCTGGTAAAGAAGCAGGAGGAATGAACCAGGAAGTTCCCTGCATGCCAGAAGGGTCAACAATAAAAAGCAAAGAGCCCAAGCTGTTCACATCAAGGGAAAGATGTGATTAGAGAGATGTGACATGCAAAGAAATTATCTGAAAAGTGAATTCAGTTGGGAGAGTATAAGCCCCAAAGAGCCCTGAGCAGCTGGTCATGATCAGATTCTCCATCTTTCTGTCAAATGTAATCGTATCCGAGTTGGCAGGGTATTTATTGCTAAAGTCGAAGGGCCAGATTTTACACTAAACATATTTACACATTTACATTTGTGGCCCTATAAACACTCCACGTTTCACTGGCCATGACATCAAACACATTTACCAACAAAAAGCATATGCCTAATTACAAACCCATGGGGGAGCGGGGAGGCAAGTGGCAGCTGATGGGCAGTGAGTGTGCGTGCCTGTGTGCGCATATATGTGACCTGGCTGCAGCACCAGGACACCGGTAGAGACCGGAATGGATGCTGACAACACCGGATCCTCTTCACTTGTCCTCTGCTCCCCAGGACTGTCCTTGTCTAGTTCAGTTCTAAAGGGGGAAGGGGACCCCTGGCATTCCAATTAGACCCAAAGCGACCTCCTGGAGGAGCCCACAGACACCAGCGTTGTTCCCGGACAAGTTTCTGATTTGGATTGAGTTTGATGCTGTCCTGACCCGTCAGTTGCCCCCGAATGACTTTTCTCAGTCAGTAATAAAAACAGGTGTGAGCAAAATGTGTCGCCAAACAGAGAATTTTGAAACTAAAACTAAAATCCTTAATTCCTGGCTTGGTAGTAAGATCAGATCCCTACCCATCAATAGCAGTTGTAATAACACTGTTAGTTGCTCCAAGCTTGGTCCTCAGTCAAGCAAGGAAATCAGAGCCACCAGGGCCACAGAGAGGAAAACAAAACCAGCATAACCACTGGCCTCAAACAGCCTTTAATAAATGACACAGGCTGGTACTCCATCAAAATAATCACCTTCCATCAGAATAACCCCCTCCCTCAGCTCTCTCAAAGGACAGGCTTCGGGAAGAAGTGGTGGATTTAAAAAAACCCAAAACTGTGAAAGGCAGAAGTCTTTCTCCCAAATGGATGCTTACTACATTTACTATAAGAATTTTGATAATAAATATACCCCAAATTTTAGTTCCATCAACAGAAAGTTTGGGCAGGAAAGGGCCCCTGAGCGGGGGACAGGGAAGTAGAGATGTGCACATAGACAGGTACCTCAGGGAGTAAAAAACAGGGAAAAAATGCGTCCTCATATTTTTCCTTCCTCTACCCAGTTTTTTTCTTTTCCTTCCTTCCTTCTTTTCTTTTTCTTTCTTTCTTTCTCTTTCTTTCTTTCTTTCTTTCTTCTTTCTTTCTTTCTGAGGAAGGCAAGTGGTTCTTAAATAAATGCAGGGGATGAGGATGGAGAGTAAACACATTGTAGAGCAGAAGCACTAGCTTCTTATTTTAGAGAAATAAAATAATTACCCCATAGAGAAAAAAGAAACCAACCAAGAAACAATCTAAGGTCATGACACCATGTGTGGTACAAGGAGCAATTCAATCCATAAGGGCTTCATTACCCCCGCAATAGATAACATTTGGCTAAATCTAGCTGCAGATTAAATCTCTGCGGCACAACAGAGCCCTGAATGGAGAGGCTCCTTTTTGTGTGGTCCTTCTCCGGGATCTGCCCGAACCATTAGCCCCAATATATCCCTCTCCCTATTAACTGCAATTCCCTCCCAACTGTGCTTCGGTCATTTGTCTCCAGTCTCTATGGGGGCGTTTGATGAGCAGAGAAACGAGGAGAAGCGGAGAAAAGCGTCGGGTTAATGAGTTGTAGCAAATCCACACTTTGTAGTTGGGAGGAGGAGAGCTGGTGGCCAATGTTTGTCCAACTGGTTTATTTTTCGAGACCCAGCCTATTGAGGAAGGCTTGTTCAAGCAGGCTTCATCCTTACAAACACACAAACATCCTTCTGTTTGCCTTCAAAGAAAAGGGGACCAGAGCTGAATTTGCATGCGAATGCGGGGCCCCGGGAGGAGCCGTCCTTGCCCATCAAAGGCCACGGTAGCTGGGCAGCCTTTGTTCCAGCACCTGCTCACCCCGCGTTCCGGGTTTGCGGGGTCCACGGCCCACCGTGCAACCCTCGCCTGCCCCAAGGCCCTCGCTCCTCAGCCCAGAGCCCCTGTCGCAGCCCACCGGTCACCCCGCCCCGTTGTGTTCTCCAGCCCCTGGCCAGGCCGGAATGGCAAGCAAAGCTGACGGCAGTACCGCAAACCGGGAGGGCGGAGCAGCAGGACTCAAAAGACCCAGAAATCAGACTGAGGCAGGCAGGTCGAGTTTAGTTTTTCTTATGGCTCAGGGCTCAAGATACGCTGGCGGTCCCTCTAGCCATCGTGGGCAAAGCGGGACTGGAACTACGGGACCCGGAACGGAAGCGAGGCCAGCGCCGAATCGCCCAGTGCCTACCTGCCATTCCCTCAAGGGCACTGACAACCTGGGAGGTGGAGCTCCTCTCGGCACATTTTTAAAGATGCGGGAATCCGAACACACAGAGGGACTGGCCAGGAATCTCTGCTTTCAGGATACCAAGCCTCATGCAAATAATCACACACACGTGTTTGTTCTTTCACTGTCTCTTCATCATTACTTTCACATCAAAATGTCAGATCTATGTGTTACAGAACGCTGCAAGGTGTGCCAGCAGTACCTGTGCCATTTGGGTTCCGCCTGCTAATGCCTCTCCACCCCAGCGGCAGTGGCATCAGATGTCCATGGTTCCAATGTCTCCTCTCCCTTATTCGGGCTAGAATAAAAGTAACTTTTGCATATAAGATTTTTGCCCAACGATACTTCAATTTGTATCTATATATTTACCGTTAAGTTCAAGGGTGAATGCATTTATTTTAAACTCATTTAATCTCCTCCAAACATTGCTGTTTATTTTTTAAATATTTATTTATTGATTGTAGAGAGAGAGAGAGATAGGGAGAGAGAGACACACTGATTTGTTGTTTCACTTATTTATGCATTCATTGCTTTACTCCCATATGTACTCTCACCGGGGATCGAACCGCAAGCTTGGGGTGTTGAACAATGCTCTACCTAACTGAGCTGCCTGGCCAGGGCACTTCCAAAGATTTCATAGGAAAAAAAAAAGAAAATTTTGAGGCTGTGAGTCCATTTTTTCCTCCCTAAAAACAAAGGAGGGCACAGGATGTCGAGAATGCATGTAACTTCAAATCCCTGGCCTATAATTCAGTCTTCATTAACTTGCTGGGTTAAATCTGCAGATCTGCAGATGTATACCTGCTGAGGGATTTGAAAAATTTTGATAAATAGATTTTACCTCTTCTGCACCTCACTGGAAGTAAGTATTTAAATGTCTTGGTTTTATCTGAGCCCACAATAACATCTGTAGTCATCAAAACTATATAGTTTCACATTTTTTCCAAAGTCTAAAAATTGCCTGCAACAAGTAGTTTGACGAAAACATGTAGAATTTGAAAAAAAGTATTCTAACTTACCTAAAATGTATAAATATAATTAGTTCAATAAACCCCTGATGCATTTTCATTTTTATTACTTATTCATTTAAACTGGAATTTTGATGCTTGCCTTTTAGGATAAAACCTCCTTTACGCAATTACTGGAATCTGTTATATTGAGAAAACAGTAGTTCTAAATTCCAAAACTTTCTAATACAATTTACTTTGTATACATTAATATTTTCTTGTTCAGAACTTTAAAGCTATTTAACTGATGACCACATCTATTTAAAATTTACAACTAAAAGTTCCCTTTTTACTTGTGTTGCTTTCATTACTACATAATACTGTGTTGCACAGCTTTTACAGATATATACAATATTGTGCTCAAATGTCAGGAGAAATTGCTTGAAGTGGGAAGCTCAAAAATAGAAAGTTCTACAAAATTATCGTAGGGTGATTGTGGCTTTAATTTTCCATAGGCTCGATGCTCATCAAAATGGAATGGAATTAGATTTGAAAATGTATACCAAAGTAAGTTCTTTTATTTGTAGTCATTTTAAAATAACTCCTGATCTCCCGTAATAATGCTTTTGTTAAATTCTGTTAGAAAATATTTGCCTTTTCTATAATGGGTTCCTTCTCTCACATAGCAGCTTTTTTAACAGAAAGAAAATAAACTAAGGGGATGACTAAAGCCAATTCTTTTGGTGGATATTCTTTGAAAATTAAGCATTTTATTTCTGAAAAAGTGTAAAAATCTTACATTAGAATAGTACAACAATTGCCAGTAAAATTTACAATACTCCTTGTAAAGAATATGCAGTAAGTACAAAATAAAAATTCCGCATGTCTATTATGATACAAAACACAGGTTAAAATAAGAAATAATTTTGACTTTTTTCCTTGTGTAAACACGTTAATCGTTTTTTTTTTCCTTTTCATGAAAAAGTACACCAGACAAGTGTTCTCAAATAAAAATTATTGCTTTGCTGACATTCTTCAGGGCCTTTACTATTTTTGTGTTCGTCTTTTGAACATTGATTTTCTTTTCTTTTTTAACGCCTGGACCTGAGAATCTCTAGACCTCAAAAAGGCTGAGAATTTTAAGCGTTTCCCAAAGTCAGGGAAGCCCCTGTGCCTAGACAGGGCGGACCCCACCAGCACCCTCTCCCTCCCCACCCCGGGGCTGGGGACTGCAGCATAGGGCGACTTTGCATAAATAGACGGACCCGCAAAGCCAGAGAGCGCGCCGAGCGGTTGCCAAACACAGTCTCGTCTGAGAATCCGAAGCGGCGAAAACGGGAGCGCGAGGTCAGGAGGGGCCGCACCGGCCGGAGCGAACAAAACACCCAACCACCGAGACGAAAAAAGGAGCGGGATTCCTACCTTCTGTTTCTCAAGCGCGCTAACATAGCGTTATTAACCATTTGAAATCCTAGCAGTAAAGTTCTCGACACTGGACAGGGCAGTCCCCTGGTGCAGAGTCCCCAGGGCGGCCGACGAGGAGACGGAGGAGGCGGCGGCGGCCGCGGCGGCCACGAGGGAGCGAGTGAGCGCGGCAGCGGGGCCCACGGCCGCCTGAGCCGCGCAGCCGCCGGGTCCGGGCGCGGGCGCCGCCGCGGGCGAGGGGGACGGCGAGGCCTGCGCGGCGGCGGCGGCCTGCGCGGCGGCGGCGGCGGCGGCGGGGCCCAGGCTGCCCCCGATGATGCTCTCGATGGAGAAGGGCGAGCGTGCCAGAGCCGCGGCGCCCGGGCCGCCCGCCTTGGCCGCGGAGGCCTGCAGAGGGCCGGGCAGGGCGGTGCCAAGCGGCGGCGGCCGGTAGCCGAAGGCGGTCCGGGCCAGCTCGGCGGCCGCGCCGTGGGGCGGCGGGGGCGGCGGGGGCGAGTGCGGGTGGAAGGCGGCGGCGGCGGCGGCGGCGGCGGCGAAGAGCGCCGAGGGCGGCGCGTAGGGCGGCAGCTGCAGGCCGTAGCTGCAGGCGTAGGGGCCGTAGCCGTAGGCGTGCGGGGGCGGCGGCGGCGGCGCGGGCGGGAAGAGCGCCGCGGCGGCCGCCGGGTCGCCCGCGCCCCCGACGCCCCCCGCGCCACGCAGCAGCAGCGACTCCGCGGCAGCGGCGTTGGGCGGGAGCAGCGGCTGCCGCTTGAAGCGCTTCCTCCGGCGCAGGAAGCTGCCGTTGTCGAACATGTCGGCGGACTCGGGGTCGAGCGTCCAGTAATTGCCTTTGCCAGGGTTGCCGGGCTCGCGGGGGATCTTGACAAAGCAGTCGTTGAGCGAGAGGTTGTGGCGGATGCTGTTCTGCCAGGCGGGGAACTTCTCCCGGTAGTAGGGGAAGCGACCGCTGATGAACTCGCAGATCTCGCTCAGCGTCAGCCGCTTCTTGGGGCTCTGCAGGATGGCCATGGTGATGAGCGCGATGTACGAGTAGGGCGGCTTTACCAGCGGGTTCTTGGCACCGCCGCCCGCGCTCCCGCCCCCGCCCGCGCTCCCGCTCCCGCCGGTCCCGGCCCCAGTCGCGGGTGCTGGGCCCGGGGGCGCCGGGGAACCCCCAGTCTGCGGGGCCAGCAGGAGGTCATCGTCGTCGTCCTCCTCCTCCAGGTCCTCTAGTTCGTCCTCGCCGGCGTACGAGCGCCGCCGCCGCCGCTGCGCGGGGACAGCCAGCCGGGGCCCGCCACCGCCGCCCTCGTCGTCCTCCTCTTCCTCGTCGTCTTCGTCCTCGCCCTCCCCCACCACGTCGATATCTGTCTCCTCGGCGAGGCCGGAGGCATCGGACATCTCCGTGCTCAGGGTCATAGCTGTCGCGCCGCGACGTTGAGGCGGCGCATAGGGGCGCCGGGGTCCGGGCTCCCGCCGCGCCCCAGCCCGGGTCCCGGGCGGCGGGCCCGGCCCCGGGGAGCCACGCTGGGGGCGCGGCCGCTGCTCAAGCCGCGCTCCGGGGCTGCCGGGCGGTGGCCGAAGCTTTACACTGCGAGTTTGTAACTCCTGCGCCGCCGCGGTTGCCCCGCGGTCTCTGCGCCCCCTTGACTCCGCGCGCACCCGGCCGGGGCGAAGGACTTGACCTTCCCCTCTCCGAGAGCCCCTGGCCGGGTCACTTTAGGAGGGGGTGACAGGGCCCTGGGTAAGCTAGTCTGAGCGTTGGAGCGCCCGGGAGGGTGCGGGACGGGTGAGAGTCTAGGGACAGAGCTCGGCGAGGCGAGGGGCTGAGACCAGGAGAGGGCGGACCTTTACGCGGCTTATAGCAGAAGGAGGCCTGTCACATGGTGTGCACGTCAGAGCGCTACCGAGGGAAGGGAAAGCAAGCCTAGGAAATCAGCCTTGCTCTGGAGAGAAAGTGCACCCCTAGGAGGGAGCAGGAACTAAGAAGACAGAACAAGAGCGTGGACTCCACCGTTCATTGCCAAAAGAGCTGAGACCTGAATTATGCGCTGGCCTGCGGTGGTCTGGACCCGAGGCACGAGTTAAAGTTCCCAGCCTCTTTCTCTTTTATCGGCCTTCAACCCTAACTTCAGAAGCAGTCCCTTGACCCGACGGTTTGACCACTACAGGCTGGAAGACCTGTAGGAGCCTTCCAGCGGGGACATAGCAACACCCCAACGTCTGAGGTGGTCCCTGGGGAATGGCTCTGAGGTCTGTTGGATTGTCCCATCTCCTCTAGACAGGGCGAGTGGCTCCCCATCGAATCTGATGAGAACCCCCCACTCCACCCCAGTTTAAACACAATAATTGTTTATTGACCTTTTAACCTGTCTCTTTTGGTTCTTCCCGAAAGACGTTTGTTTTCTACCATCTGTTAATAAAAACGCTGTGAGGCTAGCGTTTTAGTCACTTAACTGCAATTGAATGCCCTAGAAACTTGACAGCTAAACTAAGCCACTCTGATGAGAGGATCTGAAAATTTTCATGGGAATAAAGAAAGTGATAATTGAATGCAGAGAAGAAATAGAAACACTTAGTGAAACCCCAAATACCCCCCCCCCACACACACACAAGTGAACCTAGAAACGACTCAAAAAGTGTTTTTCATAATGGGGTAAGGGACTCTATAGTTAGTGAGAAGAACATTCTAATCAACACTTCACAGTAATCTCCAAATACTGGAACTACTGTAATGTATACATTCATCTCTACTCAGGCAGACTTAATAATAGAAACTACGAGGATAAATAAAATTTTTGAGACCCATTTTTTAAATGCTTCTTGAGCCCTGACTGGTGTGGCTCAGTTGGTTGGGCGTCCGCTACCAAAGCAAAAGGTCTGTGGTTGCTTCCCCGTCAGGGCACAGGCCTCGGTTGCGGTTCCGCCCCATGCAACCGATCATGTTTCTCCCCTTCTTTCTCCCCCCCTTGCCCTTTCTTTAAACATAAATAAGTAAAGTCTTAAAAAAATAAATAAATATTTTCTTGAAAATTCACTAAATGTTTCCAATAGCTACTGGTGAAAAGAAACAAAGGGTTTTTGTTTTTTTAAAGTAAGATTCAAGTCCTGGTCAACTCAAATTTTCTTTTTAGGTGACAGACAAGTTAGTGTAAATAATTCAAATATGATTCTATTATAAGTATTCTTAGGTTTGTCACGAACTCTAATTATTTTGGCTGGTGAAAAATCCTAATAGTTGTGGAGTTCATACTCATATAACCATACCATTTGGATTTTGGCATTTCCTAAAACACTTCTCTTTTAAAGGGAGAGGAACTTGCCTAAAATTTCTAGCTTGCTCATTAAAAAATGACCATTTCATGAGAACTGAGAATCAAAACTCAATGGCTTTCTGTAGAACAATCATCAGCTGCTTTTGTGTATGCCATTTTATGGACCAAGTACTTTTCACATTTTGAAACGTTTCATTATTCCCCTTATCAATCACAGCCTCAAAAATAAACTATTCCCCCATTTAAGACTTCTTTTAAAATCGAGTTTTTGTTGCTGAGAGTGGCTACCAACCAGTTACACTTACAAATGACCCATAAAGTTCATCATAGATTTGAAAGATCTATGAGAATGTCTCAAAGTTCTAAATAAATTATTTTTCATTTACTCTCATTTGATATATGGCTGAACCATTTAATTATTGTAATTGGTTCAGGATTAACCTGAGCCAACATTAATCAGCACTATTAATCAGGCATTACATTGCTTTGTTGATGTAGCCAGGAGTCCTTACCAAAGGGTTCACTTTTACATTTGAAAGTTTAAGTTTTTTAAGTACTGCTCAATCGATATCTAAATAAACACCATGATTTTCGTTGTACTGGGGGTTGGTGTGTGGCGAAGTATTTAAAGATGAAACGGAGAGGAAGAATTTGTTCGCCGACCATTAGTTACATTAGATGATCAGTTACAGCCGCCATCCCACGGTTACCACCGCCCTTAACTTGTCTGGCCGAGAAGGGCACGGTGATTGACCTGGCGCTCCGTTTGTAACTGCCTGAAGGACCCTCCCCAAAGGGTTAAAGGGCTGTTCCCAGGGAAAAAAAAATTTTTTTTTAGAGGTGGCAAATTATCTTCTCACCATTCAAGAGAAAGTGTTAGGATTTACTGGAGGTCAGAGCAGAAGATCAACCCAGCAGAACCGTTGCAGGGACAGTGTTAACAGAGATTTGACTGAGCTTTACTAAAGCCCCACATTTGGGCGGTCCACTTGCTTTGTTTATTTTAGTTAACCTACACATTTGTATGTGATTTTTAGCTCTGCGCTCGTAAAATTTCCCGAGTGTGGAAACCCAAGCATTTCATTTCTCGAGCGTCCTTACTCCCCCTTGTCTCCCCACCCCTCGCCCTCCCTCCCTAAGGCGCACCCGGGTCTCTGCGGAGACTGGGAAGTCACCCCACCTCCTCAGGCTGGTACAAGGGACAAGACATCTTTCGTCCAGGCGGGCGGGGTCGACACGGCGACGCCCCCTCCCCTGCGCATTCCCGCTGGGTTGGACGCGGGAATTGGCTGGGGGCCTGCGGGGCCGGATGGGGACCGCGTGGGGGAGGGCTGCCCCCTGGCGGTGGCACGGCGCCGTGCTGGCCCCCGCGCTGGCAGGAATCCGGAGTTCGCCAAGCATCTGGCCCTCACTTCTCCTCTGGCAACTGGGCAGGCGCTGAAGCATTTCTTGGACTGCTGGTTGCGGTCGGTTTGAGCGTGCAGGAGGCCCCCGGGGGGTTACCGAAATTAGGCGCCACAGGAGCGAGGGAGGCACCCCCTCGGCCTGTTGTTCGAGAGCTCCATAAGGTCCAGGGACCCCGCCAGGAAGGGCGAAGTCTGGCGGAGACCCGGGGCGTAAACCTGGATAACTTGCGGAGAGGGAACCTGTTTGACTCCTCTCTCGGTCCCTAAACGCAGCCTAGGAGTTTACTCACGAACGTGAACCTGAACGTGTTTCCAAAGGGCAAATATTCAGGGCCTCTTCCCTCTTCTAAGAGTCATTCCACAAGCCTGTATTAAGATGCTTTGTGGCTGGCACTCGGTTCTGGAGAGAGAAGAAAAAGAACTCCCTGGTGTGAGGGTACTCACAGTCTCAGGAAAGAGCTAGGTAAATAGATTATTATTATGCCAAAAAAGCGCTTTCTGAGTCCTCTAGCTGACAGTGGGCGATGCTTCAGGGTCCCTGCCAGTTGTCTGCTCTATTCTTTCATCTTGCGCTGACTTCCATTGTGGATGTACCTTCTCTTTTTAAACTCAAACATCTGGAGGCCAAAAAGGGCTCCTGGGGTTTCGTTTGTTTGTGGTCCTTTGTTTGTTTTGGGTGTGTGTTAAAATAGACCTAGCATAAAAGTTACCAATTTAAGTGTACAGTTCAGAGTCATTAAGTACACTCACAATGGTACACTATTTCCATCATTGCAAACTGAAACTCTGTATCCATTAAAGAATAACTCCCATTCCTCCCACCCCTCTCCAACCCCAGCTCCTTGGCAACTGTGATTCTGCTCCCCCTCCCTATGACTTTGACTATTCTAGCTACCACATATGAGTGGAATCATACAATATTTGTCCTTTGTGTCTGGCTTATTTCACTTAACATAATGTCTTTAATGTTCATCCACGTTGTAGCATGTGGCAGAATTTCATTCCTTTTATAGGCTGAATAATATTCCATTGTATGTATGTACCACATTTTGTTTATTCATCCATTGATGGACATTTGGTTGTGTCCTCCTTTTTTGTTCATTTTTGAACTCCACTCACCTAGATCTTTGTAACACTTTGCATGCGATAGGTACTCAATGAAGGTTTATTTAGTCATTTTCTTATACCTTTTCACCTCAGAAATCCTCAAAGGAACTCCCTTGTCCTAACGGAGCACACATGTTAGTAAAGTCACAGTAACGGTTTCTGCTGTGCCCTTCTGAATTTGTAATCTCAACTTGCGTAACATTTTGAGTCTTTCAGGCTCAGACTTTGTACATTATGTTCAGTAAAAAAAGTAGGAGTTAGGACTTCTTCAAAATTAGTTTCAATAAACTTGTGACCATCCCCCACACATGCTTTTCACATCCTTTTTATGCTTTATTACCTGTCTTAATTCTTGGGACCCCAAGGTGGCCTTAAACATTTTCTCTGGGCCCTAACGGGGTCACTCAGCTGATTGAAGCATCGTCCCATACACCAAAAGGCTGCAGGTTCGATTCTGATCAGGGCACATTCCTGCATTGCGAGGCATGTCCACGGAGGCAATCAATTGATGTTTCTCTCTCTCTTCCTCCATTCTCTCTCTAAAATCAATAATAAAATTGATTTTATTATATGGAAATTAATAAAAATTCTCAGGTAAGGATTTTTTAAAAAGATTTTTTAGAGACTATTTCCTTTTTTAATAAAAGATTTTATTTATTTTTCAGAGAAATGGGAAGGGAGGGAGAAAGGGAAGGAGGGAAACATGGAGGAGCAAAAGAAACATCAGCTG